ATTCAAGCATCTTGTATGCCCTTTCTGAAAGTAGCATAACTGTTGTTGGTATGTGGTAAAAATCCTTCTAAGTGGTCACCTATGGTGAGATAAGATGACTATTCCTACATATGCATTTCAGTTTATTGTTTGAGTTTCTGAGTTCCAAAACAAATGTTGTAGTTTACTATCATATTCATTATTGTTACTTTTTTGGGGCAATCTTGTTTATTATAATAAGTTTCTATATTGGCAGTCATTTTTCCTTATTGTCCCCGGTTGTTCCATTTAACTCTTTTTAGGTTGGTTTAAATAAATCTAAATGTTATTTTGTGATATTATAGTGTTTTTTTTTACTTTGTGTATCTATATATATAAATACACATCTCTCCTTCTACATAAGAGTATTTTTAAATAATATTTACTCTAATGACAATTTTTTTCGTTAACAATTTTTTTTTTTGTGTTACACAAGTGCCTTTAGGCACAGGCATTAACTAGTACTCAATATCTAAAATGAAGAATTCCACCATTTCAAATTGTAACACAAATCCAACCCCAATTTTGATTTTACTCTTCAAGTACACTGTGGAATTCATTGACAAAGTTACAGTTGATTCTTTGTATTCAAAATATCTTCATAACTTTAGAATTCATAAATAGAGTTAAAGTATGTGATTTTACAAAAAAATTGATGTTCATTGTAGGGTTTTAAAAAACTTCTACATAATATATAGTTCAAACCAGTGTTATCAGAACCGGACCGGTTCAACCGTGAACCGGGACCCTAACCGGTCCAGTTCCTTAGTTGAACCGTTTAAGGAAGCGAACTAGCTAAAAACCGGAAAATCGGCCGGTTTTTAACAAAAAATTAGTTTTTAAAAATTAAATTACATAAATAAATTTTTTTGCCCTAAATCAGTAAATAGTTGATTTTTTTTAACCTTATTCTTGAAAAAATTATAAATAACACCCCTTATTTTTCTTTATAATTTACTTGAACCTCTTTACTTTACTTTAAAATACAATAACTCCCATTTTATTACTTAATTTTATTAGTTTTATGGCAAATTTTATGTATTTTATACATATTTTATATTTTTTAGCTAAATTATTAAGTTTTATAATTATTATATATATTTTTTATTTTTTTATTATATGACCGGTCCGACCAGTTGACCCAACGGTTGAACCAGTGAACCATTGACCCGGTCCCCTTGCATGTTCGATAACCAGTCCGGTTCTAATAACATTGGTTCAAACTATCTAGTTTTTTTTTTTTTTGCATTCCTAATTTAAAAATTGAGATTCATTATTAATAAATTAAAAGTGTTATATAATTCAATTTTGTTGTTTTCTTTGTTGTGCATGACATTCGAAATACCTTGATTGTATGTCTGTGAAATAGATCATGTTACTGCGTGATAATTGGAAAATGGATTTCAGAATTTCGATGTCTTAGTGTTCTTGATTGGTGTTGAGTGTCCTAATTCAACTTTCAACGAAGTGTTGCTACTATAAATTTTGTAAATTTTTAATTTGTGGATCGTATTTTCACTATAATCTTTCAAAAATTGATGTTACTGTGAAAACTCTATTGCCTTGTATTTTTTAAAAGTCGATATGTTACTGAGCACAAACCTTTGGTATTACTGTGAAAATTAAATGTGTATGTTACATAATATACGTTTAAAGGTTTGCAATTGGTAGTGTAAGTAAAAATTGAGATTGGATTTGTGTTACTATTTGAAATGATGAAATTCTTCATTCTGGGTATTGAGTATTTTAAGGAAAATAAAATCATTCGCGTCACTATAGTAACATTCTTGTCACTATAGTAAAATTAGTATCATTATAATAACACTACTGTTAAGGAAATTTTGAATTGTTAAGAAAATTTTGTGATCTGATATTGACTTAATAGACCAACGATTTATTCGTATATCAAACTTCCATATATAACTATTAGAATATATAACTTCCGTTGATTATCATAATATTTAATAAACGATTTCCATATATTACTCAATTAAGGGTTTTCATATATACCTCAATGATCTAACCTATGTGAATGAAACGGTAAGTCAGACTTGGTTATTGCTTTTCCAAGATAGGGGTACAATAGTAAACTTGACAAAAAGTGGACTTAAAACCAATTAAGTTTTCTTTCCGAACTTATCTTTAAATAAGTCTATATAGGGGGATTGACCTTAAAATTTCTCAACTTTTAAAGGTAAAATGGGTTAAACCTAAATTCTATAAACTAAAGCCCACAAATTTATGGGTAGTCCATTACCTAAAACCCATATAAGGGTAATTAGGTAAAAATACTCTTATATGAATAATTATTCCTAGCACTATAAATAGAGATCTAGGGGAGTACCAAAAAAAGGGAGAAAAGGGAGAAGAAGCCAAGGAGGAAGGAAGATCGGTGAAGTTTTACTCAAAATTCAGTAAACCTTGCAAGTTCATCTCCGAAAAGAAGAACACATCGTCAAGGTCCTTCTTAAAAAATTCAAATCATCTTCAAACCATTCAAAATGAAAAACAGTGAGAAGATTCATCAAAAGTATCATCAAATTGAAGAACGAAAGATACATTGATCCAGTTCTCGTATTCATCAAATCCACCAAAGCTATCACCAATTGAAAAGCGAGAAATACGTCAATCAAGCCCTTATCTTTGTCAAATTCACCAAATTCATCAACTTCATCAAATTCACCGAGAATCAAAGAATAGTGCACGTAAGAAGCATGCCGAAGAGAGTCAACATTACATCTTTTACTTAAAGTCAATCAAATTGACTATTATAACTTAACTTTATTTTGTGTTAATTTATTCGCAAAATCTGTCGTTACACTCCTCTGGAAAGAAACGCACATATTACATAATAAGGGTAATCCACTGTCCACACACAATCTCCAGGAAGCATAAATGTTTTTCATTGAATCTCTAAGAGCATGGTCCAACTTTCCTCTGCAACTTTGGAGGCCCGTTGTGATTGGTGGAATTAATGTTCTGGTGTTCTTGGGAAGATCAGATCTTTGGATCATCATCTTTTAAGAACATTTCTAATATATTCTTTATTTGTTTAAATTAAATTAGAGAGTCCAATTTAATTGAGTCAAATTCACTCTCCACTATTCTTCTCTACTAAAATCGACAATCATTGTAGCGTTGTTTGAAAAAATTTAATTTCTATATTTTAAATTTTCATCAAAGATTGTTACTATTTTAAAAGAGATACTTTCTAAAACAGGGAGCACTATCAAAGACGCTTTAAGTCTATTATTTCATTTTGATGTGAGTAGTTTATTTGATTCCTTAGCTAAGGATGCGAGAGGTTCTTGAATATGATTCCTTAGCCACATCAGCAAAATGGGCAATGGCGGAAGAGTTGAAGTTATAGATGGTGATGCTGGTGGACTATCCACCACTGGCAGTGACGTTAAAGGGATGACAATGGTGGTTTCATGGTGGTGTTATTGGGGAGAAGGCGGTGGAATTGCAGCACAACTCTAGTCGAAATGACTTGTGATATGTACACTGGATTTTTGACTACTAATGCCTTGATAAATTATCAAAAATTCAAACTTTCCTGAAAATATACTCTTTTTTACCTGGTTTTAGCAAAATTATTGGGAAACCCCATTAAGATGCGATGCTAGTCCATTTGGAGTAGCTAATGGCATCTAATCCCATTCAGACATTGTAGAGAACCAAAATGTCCTTCAAGTTTGCCACCTCCTAGGCAGAGGTGACATCTTCCTAAGCTTTATTTTCTTTCCATTTGTTAATGGCACATTCACCATTCAATCTCTAACTTGTATTGCCACATGCATCATCCCGACAATTCTGGGTTGTTCGAGGGGAGAATTGTAATGGTGCAGCTGTAGGACAGTGATAGGTAATGTCATATAAGTTTCTGCAGGTTTGATTTGGATGAGAACATATTGAAGTGACACATCTCTAAGCATGATTTCGGAGTAAAGTAATGTCGTGATATTTCACATGCAGTAGCTTGATTAGGTTTGCCCCTGTCCCTGGTTTGCAAACTATCATTGTATTAAATGAATTAATACTGTATTAGATTTTAAGATGTTGCATTAAACTATAGTCAACAACTCAAGAAAGCCTTGTTCCAATGTTGCATTAAACTATATATGCAGAACCATAAACAGTAATCAACATGAAGGCAAAGAAATAAATTGATATCTTTTAACTCTTCCCTAATGCCAACAATCCATTTATGAGCTAGGGACTATCATTTGGCTTTTAATTACTGAGGAATTGATTCTGTTAATGCATAAAAGCTGATGGAAACCATCAATTCTGATGCAACAGGTATATGTTGCCCTCCTTTCTTTCCTGTTTCGAGAGCTCAAGAATCCCACACGTAGATTGTGGCAAGCTTCAAGCACACTATACATGGCGACAAGTATGTAATGTAGTTGTTATTTTCCGTCTATATATGCAATGTAATGTGGATTGCCACCTAGGAGATGGTCTCTGATGCTGCTAAAAAGTAGTGCAATAAGAAATATCATTGTGTAAAGAAAGGAGGTTCTCTCTGTATGATTGGTTAGGGAAGAACAAAACCAAGGATGATTCCAGAGGCGGCACCTTATCATTGCTTTATACTTTAAGCACCTCTTTTCACTATACCAACCTCTACTTGGAGAATTTTTTATGTTAACTTTATGAGCCCTTATAAAGCCCTTTCCTCCATGCATATGGTTATCAAGTAGTCTTCCTCCTACTAATATTCTAATGGTGCGTGTGTTCCTTCTCTCTACTTCTCTATGAACGGTTTCTTCCTCACAGATATTATATTGGGTCAGGATGGGGTAATCTGCATCCTGAGGTTTAGATCAGTATGTTTGTTGCATCTAGTCCTCAGGGATGCAGATTACCTATTCCTCACTGGCAATGCAACACTCCATGCAATCAAATAGAATCTGTTGAGCACGCAGTGGCTGCACCACAAAGGTAAGTGCTGATCTTTTCTCTAGTAACGTCTCAGTTTATGCATTTGTCAAGTAATAAGAGTGATGCTTTATTATTATAAGCAATAAGTTTGATGCTTTGCTGAAACATAAAAGCACAAATAGTGTCTTTACTCCTTGTACATGTGTATGATATTCCATATTGACTGGTATATTAGGTTCACAGGAGGCAAAACAACTTATCTAACTCCAATGCATAAGTCTGGAATTATAATTTTTCAGGCTGCTTTCTGCAAAACTCCTACAGCCTCTTCCTTGCTTTCAGAGAAGTCCTTTCCGTCTTTAAAGACAAGAAATTCCATCATCTCCACGTGGAAGAAGATAAAACTTCCATGCAAATGTGTAATGCAAGATCCAAAGTCTTTGCCAACCACACAATGCCATGCTGGTCCATAAGCTTCGTCGAAGTTCTGTTCAATTTAAAGCACTTTGAAGTTCTACTTAGAGATTTTATTCTTCATCAAAATATTGAATAACACCATGAATATCAAATACATAAAGCATTGTAGCTTTAGATACATATATAAATCAATAAATATTGATGACAACATGATAAAAGAGGATGAATGTCTTTTATTTTCAATCTCTTAGAGTGAGGTTGTAGGAGTCAAAATCTTTTCTTAGGACAATCTACAATTAGAATCTTTACACTCGATTAGTGAGCAACCAGAGTGTCATCTAGCATTCAAGACCCTTCTTGTCATCTATGGACGTTACAGGGTGACTCAATAATCAAAAACTAATACTTTGACTTGCGCTACGTGAAATGTTGTAGGTGAAGCAACAGATGACCATTCTAGTTTAAGCTTGGATCAAATGGAGCTAGACAAATATACTCCAACTAGTCGTGACTGTGATCCGCTTCATGTTATTGTTCTCACTTCAGTAGTCTTGTCTAGTCCCAGGAGTGTACGTTAGAAACTCAAATCCATCAAGGTTTTATCCGGCATGTCTGTGGCTATTAGGTGACTCTTTCTTAACTATTTAATTGTCTCATGCATGAAATATTTCAGGATCTTCTAATTGGCAGATAGATGCAGCTGTGCTTCCTCTAAGGTAATAGTCTCAGATGGTTGAAATAACTTCCGCTGCATATTGCTATGGTTGGTTTATACTGAAAAAAAACGTTGAAAGTACATATTGTAGTGACTAAAGAAGCAATTTATATGAGATAGTCACTAATTCTCATTAGACTGTTTGGTTCACACTCGTTTCAGCCCTGGTTACTGTGAGCCAAATAAACTTTAAAACCTCTGCTAGAAAGAATATGTGAATTTTCACAATGCTTTCCACAAAAGGAAAAAAGAAGAAGATCACTTTAACAAGAATCAGCAAGCTAATCACTCAATCAACTCTTGTCAGTGTTTTTATCTGATTAACAATGTTCAATGGTCATAAAAAGCCATGATTCTTAAAGCTCAACTAGAAAGAATATATATTTTGCACAATGCTTTCCACAAAAGGAAAAAAGAAAGATCACTTTAACAACAATCAGCAAGCTAATCACTCAATAAACTCTTTTCAGTGTTTTGATCTGATTAACAATGTCCACTGGTAATAAAAAATCATGATTCTTAAAGTTGCTTCAATAGCACCTCTAGTATAACCCTCTCTCTCTCCCCTCTTTCTTCTGTTGAATGCCTATCTTAAACTGATAATTTAACCTGCCAGAGTTGAATATTAACTTAAGTATGTATTTTATGGGTTGTATTATGCACTGCTTTGGTTTTCAGGAAAGATTACCCAAAATATTGGGATGAGGTTGCCTCCACAACTTCACTTTTTCTTTTAGCTGGTAGCATAGAATTAGAATCTTTATTGGATGCTTTACTTTAAGCAAGATATCACCTTCCTAGTGTCTACCCACATTACAAAAATGCATCAGATAAACCAAATACTGTTTTTCTTTTTTTGTTAACTACTTAAGCATTAATATCAGTAATCTCAACCAACAGAAAAACACAAAAAAAAAAAAAAACTATATTATCATTTGTGGGAAATTCCAAGAGAACAGAATTTAATTTAGATTTTTTTCTGCAAATCATTTATGGGGCAATTACAAGAAATTACCAACTCTATTCAGAACTTCTAGTATGGCCTCTTTCTTTGGCAATTCTGTTCTATCAACCTTTACTTTGAAAGTTTGAACTTTGAGTGAATCTTGGTGCCGTTCAGTTTCTTTTTGACATCAAAATGTGCTCTCTCTAGTACTTGAATTATATGCAGAAGACGCAATAATGAATACGACTGTGCTATTTTATGGTTGAAGTTGGTGAAGAGAGAATCTATCTGTTCAACAAAAAGAGGGCAAGCAGTACAAAGATTATAAGCGTCAAGGATGAACCTGTTTGATGAAATGAGCAATGGATTGGCAGTCCGAAACTTCATGCAGATCGAGAGCCCGATAAGCTAGTTCCATAACATGGCTCTGCATTGCCTCTGGCATATCAGTCTCACTGACAACTGCTTTTCCCTCTAGCATTTTCACAAGCTCATGGTGGAAGGGAAGCTAGAAGGTCACCCTTTATAGTGCAAGGCATGAAATAACTCTTCAGAAATGAAAAAAGAAGGGCTTTGTGGTGGAGATTTAGAGTTGAATCCAGATATTTCTGTTATTGAATTAGAAAGAAATTGCCACTTTTTTCCTTAGAAGATTTTGTATGCATTCCAAACTGTTCTAATCAAACAGTTGGACAAAAATATCTCTAATAGAACAAAGGGTTATTATGATTGATCCTCGATTACAAATGATCTCATTTTGTCATTATCTCACTTGATTGAGTCATATGCTCGTCTACTTGAAACATATTTTTTGGTACGGTATCAAAAAATAATCTTTTTGATTTGCGCTAGAGAAAACAGGGAGATTTTAGGCATTTAAGCAAAAAATATCCCTTGTCTGCTTTGATCTCATAAACATTAACAAGAAGGAACGCAAAAACAAACAAACATTGTTATGGATACTATCAAAGATCAATTGTTCCATTCCCAAACATACTAAAAAAACATCCTCCTCCTTTGGAAAATCAAGAAAAAACAACCATTTAGTGAAAATGTCAATTCTAATGGAAACTATGCAATTAACCCCTAAATTTCACCCCTATGACACTATTACCCAATAATCAACAATTGTTGACTATTAAATTAGACATGAATTTCTTTTCCAAAACTGCCCTTCCCTCTAGTTTTCAAGCACTTGCAAAGAAAATATAGGAAACAGAAAACCCCCCAATTTTCTGATTCCTAAAGAAGCACCATATAATTTCTCTTTAATCTCAAATCAACCCCATTCAGAAAACTTTGCAAAACTGTGTCCAGCAGAGAAGCTATAATTACCAAAAGACCCCTCTCTTGGATCAAAAAAATCCATCACCTTGACCTCAGCAAGAAGACGCTGAGTTCTTGACCCGGACCTTCATCCGGGTTGATCAAATGAAAACACTCCGAATCAGCACTCCCCACCACACATTCATAGTTGGCCCTCATATACATAAGCTCACCACATCCATTGTTAGGATCCGAACCACATTCGGATCCTAACCCGGATGGAATCACACCTGCCCCGACTGTCATGGACTGCATGGTCTTGAGCATGAGACGGTTTTGCTGCGTCGCCTTCTTCCGAACGGCGAACCCAAGTTTTCGACCGTTACAGCACAAGTTCCAAATGGGGATGGAGTGAAGTGGGCAATGACTGAGTTCTGACTCGGGCGAATCGGCGTGGTACTCGAGAGCTATTCGAACGAGTCCGCAATGCATTTCTTTGACCAGTAGAGAGGTTGGGATGGAGAGTTCGAGGAGGAGAGAAGGTTTGGTGTTGAGACGGTCGTGTTGGACGCAGAACCAGATGTGGTTGCCGCGACGGTGGCCAAAGATTGTGCCGATCACCATCGTTTTGGAAGTCCTTGGCGGGGCCAAAGAATGGTTGGCGGGGATGGTGGTGGGGGTTTCGTCTGGGGTAGTGGAGTCTTGGTCTTCTTGTTTTTGGTTTTCACGGAGCTTTGGGTCGTCGAGGTCGTCTCGAAGAGATGTGCTAAGGCGCTTCTTGGTGGTGATGGTGGGTGGAGCGGAGGTGGTGGTGGGTTGGAAGCAAGGGAGGAAGAAACGACGGAGGGCGTCGATCTTGGACATGGTCTCTTGATGAACAAGGCGTCAAGGCAAGGACAAAGGTTGCAGAGAGAGAGAGAGGGCTCTGAGGGGTCCGAGAAGAAGGAGGGATGATAGTTGTTTGAGTTTGGAAAAGACGAATTGGGTTTGGGGTGGCTTTGTGGAGGTCTATGTGTGTCTATATAGAGAGGGAAATATACAAGAGAGTTGGAGAAAGGGTGGGAACAAAATAGCCGTTATATTGAAGGCTATTTTGTTCTTTTTTCTTCTCCTTCTCCGGTATGTATGCGGACTGGAGAGAGAGAGTACGGTCATGGCTGAGGAAGATTCAGGTGTTGACCAAAAAGAAAAAAGATTCCAGGTGTTGGCACAAAAATCAGGGGCTAGCTCCTGGCCGAGCAGAAGAGGAGACAGCAGCAGAAAAGGGGTGCCAGGGGACAGTGGGACTCGAAAATGTTGAGTTGGATTCTGGGGTTTGACTAGGTACCCAAAACACTCACCAATTTTTGAGTATTTATATTCTATCAAAATATTTTTTTAGTATTTATATCATCTTTTAAGTAAAATTTATTAATTTTTAAAATAAATATAGTTTAATTTTTAGTTTACTTATTATTTTTTGGGCAAAATTTATTACCTTTTAAGGTGAAACTTACAATTTTTTGGACTTTTTTTTTTCACTTTTAAATATGATTCAAAAAAATAAATAGCTGTACGTTATTGTTTTCATAGATTCCGATGACTTCACAAGTTCTTGTTTTTTTGGTAACTTATTAACCATTGCTGCATGTTGTTGTGCCTGTGGGAGGAGGAATCCTTACACATATTACGTTAATTTGATGCAGTAGTATCTATCAAGGAAGCTTTAGTTTCCTTTTTGTTGTAATTTTGATTTTTTTTTTTACAATTCACTTATTTGAAGTCTATGTATGAAATAAATATAAGTTATAACGGTTACATCATGTCAGTATTGTTATATATTATAATTGTGTAATAAGAAATAAACAAGTGGACAAATAACTATCTTATATCGAGGGGTAATTATTTAGAGTGAAATTTAGTTATTATTGAGCGATTATATTACGTGATAATACTGATATACTATAATTATTAGTTCGGTATCTGTGCTGCAAAAAATTTGTAAAAAAAAAAACTCTCAAACTGTCAAAAATCATCACTGTCTGAAAAAAAGAGATTAGATTTGATATATCGAGAAATGCAGTGAAAGGACTCTATAAAAGATGCTCGAGCAAAGCAAAATACTTTAAGTCATAACTGTTTTTTTGTTGTTTGTAGAATACTCATTTGCTTCTTTTTGTTTCTCTGTGCGAGAAGGGGGTTCGGGAAAAAAAGACAAATAGTTTGGAAAATAAAGTTTGTAATTGCCTAAAGAAGGAGAAGACAAGAATGGTTGTTCATTGTTTAACCGTTTAATCCGATACTCTTGTTTACTGGCCAGTTCGAGCATTTCCAACAACTATTTTGCTCATTTTTTCTCTCTCAAAGGAACAAGCATTAGTAAACCATAAAGTCATCCTAATCAGAAGAATCCCCCGGCCAAAGTTCTCGAATTTATTCCACGTGAATTTGAAAAAGAAAATGCAAGACGAGTATGAAAGTTTGATAACGTTACGAAATCGAAACTTCTAATGGTCAAGTCTCACTGAGAAAATACAACTATTCTGAGTACTTAGGAGACATACTACACCCCTACTAAGAATACAATTGGAACTGGCCTACGCAAGTGCTTGAATGCTCTTATAACTAACTTAATATCTCTAAGGATCCCAGAAATGTTTAAGATAGAATTCTACCAAATCTCTGCATTCTAACCCTTGAAAAAACCAAGGGAAATTGCTGCATTCAAATAACAGAAAGCAAGTACATTTATTGCACGCCGCTCCACCTTGCCCAGTCCACAAACTGCATCCCACCGTAGATATTGTTGGCAAATCGTACACCAAATGTAAAAACCAAAGCAACTGGAGGTACTTGCTTTGCCAATGGAGATGCTTCTACCAAGCGCTCCAAACCATTTATAACCTGATAACGGGTGTTGGAAGAGACTGCAAGAAAAACGCCTGCAAAAGTGGATAGGAAACATCTAATTAGTGGAACAGAAATGATGGGTTACAGTCAAAATGTCCTAAAATATTATCGCTTACAAAGACCAGTAACACTTACAGACAGCTGAAAACCAAAGTTAAGATTGATTCAGGTACAGGCAACACACAGCAGGACCATAAGTGTCAATAAAGTGGATAATAGATCCATATGCAAGCAAATTTAGCATGCATAAGGAAAAGGTACAGCCACAACTTATAAAGCCCACAAGCCAAAACACTTGGTAACTTAACTCATCCATTACTGAAGTATAAATTTAACAGGGTGCATCATGGGCCTCCCCACCAAGTGATTGACACCACAAGGTTGAACCTAAGACGTAGTTTACTATGTCTAGGGCTGAAGAAATCAATTATTTTTGTTAAGATGGCCACAAATGCCCAGCTATATGTCAAGGGCACACCGTTAAGAAAAACGCCGCAGCCTGCATCTATTATATCAGATTCATATTCACCCATTTAACACCAGGTTGAGCAAAATGGCCACGACGACTGACATCTGAAATTTTGAAGCTAGCAATCTACTTTTCAGGCCACACAGATGCAGGCAGGAAAAAAAAATCAAGAACAATGCAGTGAGTCATACCCCAGAGTGCTGCACTCTTCAACAGAGGTGGAACGGGTATGTCCTCTTCTGATTTCTTTATACTCCTGTTGTGCAGAAACAGCATATGATGAGAAACAATTTACAGCAAGCAAACATATATTAACACTAAAGTGGATATGCAATATTCCTTCAGTGCCAAAGAACAGAGAAAACGATAAATAAAAAACAAACAAGCAGCATAACAGCTTGATTTCCACCGTAGTGCAATCCATGCACAAGAGGGATGGTTTCCTACTGTAATCTTTCAAGCATTATAAAAGCTAAAACTGCAGTCTGAACAATTGAAGACCCATGTCATTATAGTTGATAGCAAGGAGCACGTAATTAAAAATAACATAAATCTATACAATCACATTCAACTTCAAATACATACTGATGATGCACAAATTAGTTTGCACACCACTAGTCAAGTTATAGTATAAAATGCAGTAAGTAGAATGGGAGAGAAGACAAGATTTATAGTGGTTCGGTCAATACGACCTATGTCCACTTTGAATGGCTAGGTTCGCTAGAATTTTATTATCTCCGGTGTGGAGGAAGAGCACATGATTACAAACTTTGAGAGGGGAGAAAAGAATTATGCTCAAATGAGTCTGATGCCCCCCAAGTGTCAGAGAAGCTTACAATTTATAGTGGTTTGGCGTAGTAATTGTATGACTATTCTGACGATCATTATGGCTTAGGACCGTTTGATAGTAATTAGGTAGTTGATCCGGCGGAGGCAATCTATCATCTTCTCAACGGGCGAGGTGTGACGGTTGGTGTGCTCTCCAAAGGACTTGGTCAAGGATGAGGGAGGTTGACTCTCTCCAGGCTGCGAGGGTGAGGCTCCTGAATGCTCATTGGTGGCGTAGATGAGGCTCTTGGATGACCCTTACTCCAAGGTGGTAGAGTAGGCTCTTGGATGACCGTGCATGCTCCCCAGCTGATGTAGCTCCTTGATCTTGATAAGGTTATCCGAGTGTAGACTCCTTTGGGCTTTAACTAGCTGGATCTCTTGGAATTGGGCCTTTAGCTCGGACCAGACTTATAACATGGGTTGGGCCTGGCCCATCATTTGCCCCCCAATGCCCTACATCCAACAGAACTTGGAAAGAAGGACATTTAAGTTGAATTTGAATTTTCGGCTGACCGGCATAACTAAAAAAATTTTGGGAGGCCAAAACATCCGTTTATAGGCCTTTTTTGGACTTTTTTTGAAAAGCTCATTACCATAGATAATGAGTTTTGCTCAGCTCGTCGAGAGTTTCGATTTGATATATAATATGTCCCATTTTAACTTACATAAAAAATTTACGACCAAAATAGCGAGCAGACGCTGGGCACGATTTTGGGCGAGCAGGCATTGGTCTAGACGACCATGCAGCTAAGCACGCTGTTTTAGGATACTAACTTGAGGAACTTGGGCGAGCAAGAGGCCTTGGGCGAGCTGGAGAATTGTCTAAGTGCCACTCCAAGTCGTCTTGAGGAGCAGCCTACTTGCGTAGGAAGGGTGGTCTGGCGTGGAGATGGGAAGACTGGCGCCAAGAAGGGCCTGGGCGAGTAGACGACATCGCTACAGTTCGCGCAGTAGGTGAAGGGGCTGCTCAAGTCTTCATGCATGCTGGCCTGCACACTGGGCGTGGTGATCTGGTCCATTAGGCGCCTAGGGGCGCTGATCTCCTAGTGAGCAGTAGGTGAGGGGGCTGCTCGAGTCTTCATGCATGCTGGGCGTGCTAATCTGGTCCATCAGGCGCCTAGGGGCACTGATCTTGGTGAGCAGGGAGGTGGAAAGAAGGCTGGTCTTGGCATGAAGGCATCAAGAGACGCCATTTTAGGCGAGCACAAATGATTGGGCGCCTGCAGGACTACTTCGCTTGTACGAGCATATGAGGCCAAACACCTCTTTAGGCACTGGGCTGCCCATTTGGGCGAGCAGAGGGGGTCAGGCGCCTCTCTAGGCACTGGTTTGAGTAGTGCAAGTTATAAGAAAATTTTGGGTGCCACTTTTGGTGATGATTCGAGGAGTTCAGGTAGTCAAGGAGTTTTGGATGCCCTTGTAGGAAGTTCAGTTCTCGCCCATGCTGGCGGGGTTGCCCAAGAATTTCTTGGCGAGCCTGGTTCTGGAGCCCAGGGGTAGAGTATGGCAAACACTTTTAGCAATGATGGTCCAGCTCCTCTCAATGCACCTTCTCAAAATCAAATTCTTCCATGATATTCTGAGATTGTTTCTGCTTATCACATCCCCCAACAGTTCTATGTCGCCGAGCTGAGATGGGTGAACCTGCTTATGATGACAAAAAATAATGTTATTCCAAACATTAAAATATTTAACATGATTACCTAAAGAGAGAGGCAGGCTACTTGCGCGAGAGCAAGACAGAGTTTGAGGATTGCTCGTGAGAGAGCTACACCTTTTGAGACCGAATTTTTAGCGACCCATGAGAGAGTCTTTAAGCTTGAGGTATAGGCTACTTGCTTAAGAGCAGAGCAAATGCCAAGCTTTTTTGGCGACTCGTGAGAGAGCAGGGAGATAGACTGCTTGTTTGAGAACAGTGCAGAGGTCAAGTTTTTTTGGCGACCCGCAAGAGAGCCGTTAAGCTGAAGATAGGCTACCTGTTTGAGAACAATGCAGAGGTAGGCAAGTTTTTTGGCGACCCTCGAGAGAGCCGCTAAGCTGGAGATAGACTACTTGTTTAAGAACAGTGTAGAGGTAGACCAAGCTTTTTGGCGACCCTCGAGAGAACTACTAAGCTGAAAATAGACTATCTGTTTAAGAACAATGTAGAGGTAGGCCAAGCTTTTTGGTGACCCTCGAGAGAACCGCTAAGCTGGAGATAAACTACCTGTTTAAGAACAGTGTAGAAGCAGGTCAAGCTTTTGGCAATCCGTGAGATGATTCACCTCGCCTGGACTTGTTGATTTCCTCAGCATTCATAAATTTTTGAACTTTTGTCAATAGTTCTGGCATGCTCTTTGGTGGGCGTTTCATCACGAAGAAAAGGAAGCTCGATGACCAAAGGCCTCCTAAGAAGGCAGTCATGCTGACTTTTTCATCGGGCTATTCGACCTGAAGGACTTCCTCATTAAAACGAGTGAGGTAGCTTCGCAGGCTCTCATCTCGGTCCTACTTTATGCTGAGCAGGTGGGTGGCAGGCTTCTGGTGACGGCGTCCTCCAATAAAGTGCAACACGAAGAACCTGCTCAGCTCAGTAAATGAGCCGATGGAAGCGGGGGTGATCTTGGCGAACCATTGTCGAGCGGATCCCTTCAAGGTGGTCGGGAACGCTCATCAAAGGTTTCGACGGATGACATCTTGAATTTTGAAGAGTGGGTAGTTCGCCACGTCAGGTTTGAAAGGTGTGTCGGTTCGACTTACAAGGTAATCCATTATCTCGGGTCCTCCTGCCTTTATGGCGTTGAAGACATCACCCAATTGATTCTGCACCTCCTTAATTTTTTTGTCCCAATAATTAGGAGGAGGTCCCTTGGAATTACCATGGATATGACTCCCATGCTCCAAGCTTTGGTTTTCACCCTCGTCCTCTTGGAAAAAAGGGTCTCCATCATGAAAAAAAGAGCTGGAAGTGGAGGTGGAGGTCCCTTGTGGGGAGCTCCCTGTGCAGGGCGCCTGAGGAGGCTCCAAAGGGGGCGCTCAAATAAGGAGCACCCATGTGGGGAGCTCTTTGACGCCCAGGGCGTGGAGCTCCTTTGACTTGTGGTCTAGGTTGTGCTCTTCCTCCTAGATAAGGAGCACCCATGTGGAGAGCTCCTTGATGCCCAGGGCGTGGAGCTCCTCTGACTTGAGGCCTAGGATGTGCTCCTCCTCCTAAATGAGGAGCGCCCATGTGGAGAACTCTTTGACGCCCAAGGAGCATTAGTTGTAGGATATGTTGGTTCTGGGCCGCAAGTTACTGCATGGTCTTGAGCATCTGCTGCTCATTTGGGGCAGGATTGGTTGGTTGAGGAGCAACCTCCTCCTCTCTTGGTGGTGGGTTATCTTCAGGCTGATTCATGGATCTGTTGGTGATCGACTTTGACTCAGCAAAGGAAAGTGGCTAGGTGAGAACTGTCGTTCCAAAGACGGCGCCAAACTGATGATGCACAAATTAGTTTGCACACCACTAGTCAAGTTATAGTATAAAATACAGTAAGTAGAAGGGGAGAGAAGATAAGATTTATAGTAGTTCGGTCAATACGACCTACGTCCACTTTGAATGGCTAGGTTCGCCGGAATTTTATTATCTCCGGTGTGGAGGGAGAGCACATGATTATAAACTTTGAGAGGGAGAAAAGAATTATGCTCAAATGAGTCTGATGCACCCCAAGTGTCAGAGAAGCTTATAATTTATAGTGGTTTGGTGTAGTAATTGTATGATTATTCTGACGGTCATTATGGCTTAGGACCGTTTGATAGTAATTAAGTAGCTGATTCGGCGAAGGCGATCTATCATCTTCTCAACGGGCGAAGTGTGATGGTTGGTGTGCTCTCCAAAGGACTTGGTCAAGGATGAGGGAGATTGACTCTCTCCAGGCTGCGAGGATAAGGCTCCTGGATGCTCCTTGGTGGCGTAGAGGAGGCTCTTGAATGACCCTTACTCCAACGTGATAGAGGAGATTCTTGGATGACCGTGCATGCTCCCCTGTTGATGTAGCTCCTTGATCTTGATAAGGTTATCCGGACGTAGACTCCTTTGGGCTTAACTAGCTGGATCTCTTGAAATTGAGCATTTAGCTCGGACCAGGCTTATAACATGGGTTGCGCCTTTGGGCCTGGCCCATCACATACTAAATACTAGAATTTGAACTTACCGCCGTTGTTACAACAACAAACAAAACATTCACATAACCACTCAATGCAATAGAACACTAAGGTTGTTCCTGTTGCTAATCTAATCAATCATTCAAAGCACACAAGACAAGGGAAAAAACTTGCATCCAGAGCATGAAAAGGTTGTGGTGAACATAACCTACAGTGAAGTTTTGCTAATTCTTGGTGAGCTTGTCCTTGGTGCAGCTGCTTGTCCTACTCTTTTCAAAGGAGTGGCAGAAAACTCAACAAAACTGATAGCAAAAGAAAAGCAAATCATAGTGAAAAAATCAAGCCTATGCTTTCCTGGTAGCAAGATCCCCTTTTGGTCTAATCAACTGCTCCAAATCCAACTGACCACCTGGATCAAACTTCCAAAGATTTTTTCCTCGTGTTGGCATTAAAGCATATAGAACATTATGAGGAAAGACTCTAAAACTTAAAAGGATACAAATTTAACACTAGAACAAACAAGCCAATCTATTTTATGGTTTGGGGTCTGGGCAATATCCACAGAAATCAAAGAAAGCTTACTCATACTTCAATCATAATTCTAACTAGTTGTATATAAGAAAAAGAACCTAAGCTAATCTCTCAACTCTCAATTTTTATGATTAAGCGGCATTTATTGACATTATTGAGGGCGAATGAAACATCAGGAAACTGCAGTGAAAATTTTTATGCTCACAGAATATATATGTTTGTACAAACCAACCAAACCAAACCTTATGTGTTTATGCATAATCAAATACACATCGGGTTTATGCGTATGGATGTATGGAGGACATGGCCACACAAAATTATACCGCTTGGCAGTCATTATCAAATTTGCAATGCCTTGACCAATTATACCACATCCAAAGCCAACCAATCCATACAGTACGCCCTGAAAAATGTAGGTTAGTCATAGATTAGTCTTCACTGGACTCAAGGAAGTGTAAAGAAAGGAAAAAATAGTAAAAGTCTCCAGCAAAAATAAAGGATATATGCACGCAGCACCTACGATTCAAGTACTCAGGAAATTAGCCTGTTATATGACAGATGTATGATGCAATGTAACCCTGTTACCTTATAAAAGTAAGTAGCAATTCTCTGATTCACAGTAAATCTACATCCGGGCCTCTCAGCTTCAAATACACTGCATCAGATGGGCAATTGAAGAGCTAAGTTGCCTATATCCTCAAGACACAAAGGAAGAGAGTCGTGGAATGACGTGCACAACTACCATGCTATCATGTAAGGCTAAGCCATTACAATGTATGAGAATGCAAGCAAGTTATACACCGGAAAAGAATTATATATGTACTGGCAAGAACTCAAAACCTGCTAGGCAGAGCCCCATAAGCGCGCTGTATGTGTCCAAGGAAACCTTGAGATACAGACACTTGACCAATTCGTGCATAGGGTGCTAGCATACCAACCAAAGCAACATTAACAACCACCCCAACCAAAAGATCTGCAGCATACAACTCAAATTCTGCCCAGAAATCTTTGCCCCTCTTTTGTACTTCAGCGAATGTTGCGCAACAAGAATCAATAACTATCTGCATCAGGAAAATTGATGGCGATGAAAAATGAATGTTAAACACCACTGACAGTGGTAAAAAAGGTAGGAGGTGCAACCAGTCATGGATGACCCTATCTACGCATGACCATAGTAGCCCCTACTGGTGAAGAACCAATGACAGGAGAGGTCTAGGACTCTAGAAGGGAGAAACCAAGTGCACTCCCATCAAGCTGGTTGAGCTATTGCCTGACCCTAGTCCCACCAAAGGCCAATACCGACAACACAGGAGTAGGACACCATAGCCCCCGAATCTCGAACCCTTAACTACCTGACCTCCCGAGGAATTCACTTGCAATGCTTTTCTGACCAGACCCTAGCGCCTCAAAACTTTATATAAATTGGACACAAGGGCGGAGCCAAAAAAAATTTCTTGGGTGGGCACACTCTAACTACACGATTCAACTTTTTATTCCAATAAATAAAAATAATGCGACACATTTGTATCTTCAACATCATATTTGTTAGCAAAAAATTCATTAAATACAAAAGAGTTAAAAAAAAAAAAACAAAATACATAGACTATGCAAACAAAAAACACGAAGAAAAATATTTAATTATTACTCTTTACAAAAAAAAGGGGCTAATTATACCTTCCAAACAAAATGGGGCTAATTATAATCATTTAAATTTGAACCCGATGAATTTTTATTCTTAAAAAACGTTGCATGATAACTTCATTATCAATGTTATTAAAATATATTTCTTTATATAAAAAAATTAATCATGATATTTGTCATTCATTGAACTCTTCACAACTTTTATTGTTAAAAATCACAATCGTAATTGGTAATATTAATGTCAAAAGTCCCAAGTAAATAAACTAGTGGATATACCATATCTTTTTTTGTCTCAACCTTTTTTGTGAGCAAGATCACAATTTGCTACAACATGACCCTATTTGTTTGGCTTTAGCTCTAGACTACATGTGTTTTGCATGGATCTATGTCAATTTTTTTTTTTTGCATTGAGAGTGGGCCTTCATTATTAAAAATCTCTTCACAACTTTTATTGTTAAAAATCACAATCGTAATTGGTAATATTAATGTCAAAAGTCCCAAGTAAATAAACTAGTGGATATACCATATCTTTTTTTGTCTCAACCTTTTTTGTGAGCAAGATCACCATTTGCTACAACATGACCCTTTTTGTTTGGCTTTAGCTCTAGACTACATGTGTTTTTTTAACATTGAGGGTGGGCCCTAATTTAATAAAACTAAAAAAATATCAAAAATACAAATAGGTTAAATAAAAAATCTCAGGGTGGACATATGCAACCCCCCGCGGGCGCACCCAAACAACTTCAACAGGCCTGCTTCTACTCATACAAAGTAGGCAATCCAACAAGGCTACTTCGCAAATAAACATTCCTATCAAAGTACTAGACAAACGATAATACCTAATTGGCAGAAGTAGATCAACTGGCTACATGGGTGTTCAGTATTTCATGGGGGCTGATAACAGCAAACCTTTTCATAAGAGTCAGCTCAATAAGCAATTATATCTACTAAATGCCCAGATAGAGAGTTTTCACAACAGTTACACTGATGTGTAGCAAACCTCTGTTCCAATTTTGAAAAGAAACGATGGATCAACCAACATTCGGTTCCGAAGCATAGAACATGACCTCATTGCAAATCCCAGTGGCCACACTGACCCCTGCATTAGAAAACAAATATAAAAAAAACAGCCATTATCACAGCCGTTGTGAAGAAGTGGTGCAAGCATTGCACACTACAAGTTGCTAAAATAGTTGAATGTGTCGACATTTAACAAAAATTTACCTGCAAGTCCAAATATCTGAGCAGAAGCAATCTGCGAATCCCCACACTCTTTGCAGCCTCTAACATATCAGCAGGAAGAGTAGCCCCTCTAGCTTCAATTTCTCTAATCACCTCCTCAAACTTCAGAATAGGCCCAAATTCATTTTCCTCATTGTCATCTCCACCACCACCACCACCTCCCCCTCCCCCATTGCCACCACCGCCACCACCACCACCATTATGACTTTTTGGTTCGTTGTTTATCTCCAGAATCCTAATATCCTTCCCTAGAGAAGAACTGTCCCTTTCATTTGAAACTGGGGTCCTTACTACACCAGATTTCATGACCATAAACAGTCTTTTTATCTTCTTATACAGAATCGGTGTACTATTTCTTACATTATTCAAGACTTGAACTTTAACAACCATCACATTCCGACTCCGAGGCGTCCTCAATATAACCTCGTTTTGCAAATTCACAAAATGTGATAATCCAATCCCCGATGAACAACCCGCCATTTCACTCACAATAGCTCAAAAGTAAATCCAATTAAATAAGACCCAGTTAATATCTTCCAGAAAAGTCGACGAATTGAAGAATTTTCAGAAGAGAGACAGTAATTTTTAAGACTCGCTTTCAGTTGAGAGGATGAAGACTAAAAAACTAATACTTGAGAAAGAGGTTCGAACTTTTGAGGAAGGCTATGCTCATCTCTGTAACTTTCTGGGAAAATGAAGGAAATTTGTAGGGAAAATGAGTTTTAACTCTGTTTTCTTACGAGTGAAACTTGATATAAGCAGCCTTTGAGTCTCAGACTCCGAAAATCATACACATGTAAAGAATGAAGTGAATGGAAAGTGCAGAGTAAACCTGAGAGAGAGAGAGAGAGAGAGAGAGAGAGTCGCTGTATTCTCTTGAATCTGAATTTTTCTCTCTCTCTCTTTGAATCTGGGGGGTTGTACGTGGGGAACAGCTGTGGTGCGGCGAGACGATTAGGGTTTTAATGAGTAGTATGGCTTATAATTACAATCGAGCTAGGCTTGTGTGCTCGAGTTCATTTTTTCAAATTGGTTTAAAAAAAATTTTAAGTTCAATTTATTTAAAAAATAGGTTTAATTTCGAGCGAGCAGACCTCGACTTAAGTTTAAGGAGCTCGAGCCAAGTCTTATTCGAATTAAAATCAAGTCGAAGTCAAATAATTTGATTTTAATTATTAATTTTATTTTTGAGTTATTTATTATCCTACGATAATTTTAAAATAAATTTACTAAATTATTATATTTTTAAATTTATTTATCAAATTAAAATACTTTTTAAAAAACGGGATTATTAATGTCATTTTTATTAAAAACTATTCGTTGTTTCACTCGATGTAAAATTAGACTGTTAAGTGCAATAAATTCACTTTTAAATGCGGGGGTTATTGGCTTCCCCTTTTAAAAAGCATCGTATTTTAATATATAAATTTAAAAACATCGTATTTTAATATATAAATTTAAAAATATCGTATTTTAATAAATATATTTTAAAATTATTTAACTCTTTGATTGGTGCCCACACCTCACGCTGTGCGTAGTTTACCAACCTAACTGACTGGTCTACATTCTCCAGCAGAATGGTCAAGCCAACCGCCTACTTAGACTACCATCAGGAATCTTTAGAACCATCCTATTGAATTTATGGTAACATTTTTCGCCTAAATTAGGGGCTCTTTGTGTTTACTAGGATTAATACGATGTTGTACGAGATTTGAATATATTTTTTTGGGAAAATTAAGAGTTGAAATTAATCACACGTGGCATGTTATTTTAAGAAAATAATTTAATTAAACTAAAGTACAAAATGGATGCAAACAAGAAAAGATGTATTGAGCTATTACAAACAATTGAAACTCGAATATTTCTTAAGAGGGAGGGAGGGAGGGAGGGTATGATGTAGACCAAGATTCGTAATTTTTATATTTTATTTTATTGCGTTGTTAAAATGATGACTTAATTAGTAGTTTTCTAAGATATTTAAGTTTGCTAAAACATTAGACATATGATTTATTGTTTTAGGTAACTATTTTTAAGTTAGAAATTTGTTTCTATTTTGGGTAAGCCTTATGGTTTTATATTTTCTTATAAATTGTCATATTTATTACAATTCTATGTAGTTAATGAATTGAATATTACAATATTTTGAAAAGTGTTCACTTCCTCTTTTCTGTGGATTCAGAGTGTTTTTATTCTTTAAACTTTGAGACAGTGATCTGTTCGTGTCTCTATTATCTGTTGACAAGAATAACTCTTGAAATATTTTTATTATTGATTGATTAACTTAATAGAATCGTAATACATAAGATAATTTATAAGGAAAAAACTCAAAACCCTAAAGTTTCCAAAACTCTAGCCTTAGAAAAGTTACCAAAAAAAAATAAACGTGTGTCTAATGAATTAAAAAAATTGACATGATTTAGGTAACTAATTGCTCTAGAATATTCCCAACTAAACTCTTATTCCAACTAAAAAAATAAACTAAAATAAAAAGAAAAATATAGAAATCCGTAAGTCTTGTTCTATATCACATGTGACATGTTATGTTAAGCAAATGATTCAAAGTTCAAAAACCAGAAATATCTTTTTAATTCTCTCCACAATACGATAATCAAACAAGTCCGTTTGAATTCGTGTGGAAGGACTGCTCGTATATGGCAAACGGGTGTTGCAAAAATCGTACCATGTTCACTCGACTTCACCTAGATAGAGAAATATGATTTAGTAGTAGAAATAAGGTTGATTGAGATGATTAAAACTTAAATTGAGTACTCTTAAGTCTTTAATCTTCCTTGTTTAGAACTTGTACCTGTAAAATGGACATCAAGAATTGTTTCTTCTACTACATACATTTTCAATTATAGAAGAACATGAAAACAAAAACATTACGAAATACAGCCCTAGTTTCTAGAATTACAATAGCTAAAAAAGAAATCTAAACAGTTGGCCTGTTTATGATCTAATTATGAATCTCCTCACTTTGTGTTTGACTTATCACACTCAACTAGAAGCTCCAACACCTTACTCATAGGTGGCCTGGTACTCCGATCTTCTCCCAAACACAACAATGCAACTTCTATTAATCTTTCAACCTCCTCAGTATCATATTCATCATTCAATCTCTGGTCAATTATTCCCTTAGGCCCCTCTTGTTTAATCGTATGCTTCGCCCATTGTTCCATGTCATTATACACTTTCTCCTCGACTCCAGTCCACTGGAAACTAGATGCACTCTTCCCAGTCAGTAATTCCAACAAGACGACGCCAAAACTGTAGACGTCAGCCTTTGCATTAATACTTAGGTTCATCATCCATTCCGGGGCTAGATAACCTCTTGTGCCACGGACTCTAGAAAACATCATGTCATGGTTGCGTTTGAAAAGCTTTGACATACCAAAATCAGTCACCTTAGGCTCAAGATGATCATCTAACAATATGTTCTGAGGTTTTATATCACAATGGAGTATCCACTCCAAGCACTCTTCATGGATATAAGCCAAGCCCTTCGCTGTCCCAAGGGCGATGTTATACCTCTGGTACCATTCTAATGTCCTGGATGAGTCTGAAAACAAGAATTGGTCCAGTGAACCATTCGCCATATATTCGTAGACCAAAAGCTTGTGATCACCTTCAGCACAGAATCCCCACATTTTCACCAAATTTCTATGGTTGAGGCTCCCTATGATGCCCACCTCTGCCCAAAATTCTGTATCTCCTTGCAAAATGCCTTCCAATCTCTTCACAGCTACAACTCTCTCGTTGTCCAAAATGCCTTTGTAGACTGTTCCAAAGCCCCCCTTTCCTATTTCTTGGTTGAAGTTCTGAGTTGCCTTCTTTAGTTCTGCGAAAGTGAAACGTTTGAAACCCATAGCCAGTACAGTGTAGCCCATGTTTATCACCTGCTCATTGGCGTGTTTTCGAAAGACGTACCACCAGCCTAAACCAATGCAAATCATTTCAAATACTCCAAATGAACCTACAAATGCAATTAAGTATTTCATATACCCATTTCTGTTGTTATTTTCTCCATCAGCATCGTCGCCCCTGAATACAATTTCGGTATTTGAGCAGTTCAAGTCATTTGTTTTTACCTGCCTTTGTTCCGCCTGAGAGATCACCATGGCTCTTGGGACTTTTAAATGCATGATTTGGGTAGAACTTGGCATGCTAAAACCATTCAGGAGAGTACTTTTGGGGAAGCACTGTCCTAGACCATCCAGTGCATATCCAAAGCCTGCACATTTGCAATCGCTCAGGCAGGCATTCCTGCATGCTTCAAAGGTCATGTTACGACCATAGAAGTCCATGTCATATCCAAAGTAATCTGTATACTGAAGCTCAATGAAATCCCATGCAAGTGGATCACAAGTCAGATTGAATCGAGGTGAGCAACCTTTAGACCAATCTGAAGGATCATTTCTATCAAAACCATGAGGGCAAGTGCAAGTAGGTAGGGGATTGTAACTGCAAACACCATTTGGTCCACATAACCCGTGAACCTGACAAGGACTTAAGCCACCAGGTAACCATGAGATTTCCCAAAGCCCAGTTGAATCATCTAAGCTATACAATCTCAAAATCCCATCATAATCTAATGTTAAGCGTCGTTTGGGACCAACCCCATAATCAGAGGCATAGAAAATAAAATTGTCACTTGATATAAACTGCCCCCAGCTGTTAACGAATGCTGATCTGGAACTGTTGTAGGGTGTTCTGCCACTATCGAAAACAGATATTGCTGTACTTGGCAAATAGATACTTGAAACCAGAGGACCATTGTATATGAGGTCTAATACATTGTTATCATCAAATTTGAAGTTGTAGAATCCAGAAAAGTATGTACCTCGATTCCTCATAGAGACCAAGGTTATGTTCTTGGACAGTATTTGACCTGGAAGGAGAGTGTCTGTAGGGAAATAAAAACTCTGCCAGATGATCTCCTCTGCTTGGTTGATCAGTATCAGATTTCCGGTTTCAAGAAGCCGAGCTTCCACAATTGCATCCGAAAATGTATTGGTTGACCATGTGATTGAGCCATCTGCATCAGTCAACACCAGGTTGCCATTTCCGTGGAGATCTAGCTGCGACTGCTTTCCGTTCACTGGACTGTCTCTGTTGGCCATCCAGACAACTGTTTTGTTCAAAGAATTGGTGAACCAGATTGAAAAACAATAGGCATTCGTTCCCACGTTGTAAAATCCACCAGAGAATGTCCCATTTGGGGATATTAGGAAGTCATTCGTTTTCTCAACAGATAGGGAGCTTCCATGGCTTAATCTTGGCAAGCCCTGAAGCCCTGCTTGTGCCAAAGCCATTGTAACTCCATATAGCAGAACAATGAACAAGCTGAAAACCGTCATGATGGTTTTCGAGCAGGAGGCGTATGAAAATTGGACACAAAAATGTAATATAGAATATGATGTAGCCTTTTTTTTCCTATAAGACTTTTATAATTGAGAATTTGGGATGGTTGTCTTTGAATATGTGAAAAATCTGACTTTGAATGAGGCATTCAAGGTAGTCTTCTCTCCTCGGGAAGGATATTACGAGTCATTTGCCTTTGAATGTCGTAAGAAAGATTTTCTTACGCTGAACGTGTGCTTGTTAAAGTTTTACAAAATGGGATTGTTTGTGATCGATGCTAACATTGTAGGAATGAATGCTAATATTTGGAATCGATTCTAACATTTTAAGATGGATTCTAACTGTTTTGAGTCGTAACTGATTTTTTTGAAGACTTACTGCAAAATTAGACTACCCTTTTTAAACCCAAACTTGTTTGATGGAGAGGACTAGTTTCCGATTTGTAGGCCAACCTCAGCTCTGCCATAGTGCCATGTATTTGTAAAATCTCTGTATCTTACGGTTGACCTGATAATCAAAATTGGTTTATGACATAATGGCTATATAAATATTTCAAGTGGATTTGATGCCTTAAAAGAAATATCTGTCATGTATATTTTATTTATTAAAGTGAAGAAGAAGTAAGAGCAGTAATTGGCATTTAAGGAGGCAACTATAAGGCGGCCAGCAGCCATCTCTTTAGTCAAACACTAACATTATTGATAATGAGCAATATTATTGAGACATAATTTATTGGTCTAATTCACTATGATCTTTGAATTGACTGTAGGCTTCATCAAACATTGGAATTTGACGTTGATTTAATAGTTTCACAGAAGCCACATAATTATGCCAGCAAATTAAGTCAAATTTTTAAGTCCAAATAAAATTACTCTTAATAATTAGAGCCACTACATTAATTAACATGAACGTACCTCTCTATATCCCGGCTCTACATATCTATATCTAGTAAGTAATATTCATTGTAAATGGTTATAAATCTTTTTTTTTTTTTTGGCCCCCGGGGGGGGGGGGAATTGGGTTTGGAGTTGTTTCTCTTTTTAATGACAGTTGACTTAGTTTAAGTGGCGGCTGGGAAATCTTGGACTAGCAATGAAATTCTTGTGGGCATTGCTGCAGTGATGGGGTAAGGTTGCTCCACTGCGACCTGTACATCAAGGTTTCGAGTGGCCAAAAATCCTCTCCTCACACAGAGGTAAGGTTGTATATCTCGCAATAGCGGGAGTCTCGTGTACTAAACTACCTTCTTTAGCTGTCATATGAATTTTTTTCTTGCAGTTGCAGTTCTCTTAAAACGAGTTACAGTTTCGAACCCCTATTCTATTGGAATGAGAAAATCCGAGCTCTAATTCATAGCAGTGGTGTAGGGTTAATATAAATTCAGTAGATTGTGGGACCTATGGCTCGGACAATTGCTGTAATAGTGAGTAATAATAACTCAGCATACAAATCATTGTTGGTTTATCAGACTTGGTTCAGAATCAACCTTCTTAATAGGCCTAGAATAATGTTGTTTGAGACAAAAACAATTTTGAAGAAAAACACTCAATGGAATCTTAACACCTTTGACCAATTTAGACCTCTTCTCTAGTTAATTTCGAATAAAAAACCAATGCTTCTTTCTTCAAAGAAAGAAAATATATTGAAAAGCTTCCCTGGTAAATAAACATAAGCCAAATAGATCTGTTTTCAGAAACATTTTGAAACTGTCTGCTCAATGAGTTCAATTTGATTCTCTTATCTTCCACTGAACCTCACTAATCTTTTGGTTTGTTTCCTTTCTTCATTTGATACACCAAAGGAGTCATACATGAGGTGAAAATGGCATGAGAGAAGTAATTGTATTAGCCTATTATGTCACAGAGTCTGCATGTACACATTCTGTCTTTAAGTTCAGTTGAAATCTCAATTTGGTGATTATAAGCTGTCAATAGTTCAAGCTAGAAAGAGTGATCTTGAACTAAGAAACAGACCCTAAAAAGCTAAAACACATGTCAAAGGAATGAGATGAATATAGTAGATATAATGCCAGAAGTATTCAAGCTTGATTGCAGAAAATGAAGATGAATGAAAATTAGTATGATTGCATCAATCATGGGAAAAGATCATGGGATCAATAGATGAAAGGCATTTGTTTAATCGACGAGAGGAAATCATGGGATTAATATCGTTGTCTATTTTTACCAGTTAAAAAATTCTTCAATTGCCTGACAGAATGATTTTTCTTTTGCTACTTTATGGATACTCTTCATTAGGCTACAGTTCTTCAGGACAAATTATTGATAGACCTGAGGGGAAACTCAAGGTGTCTAGTTTTTTATATTAGAACTTGATCAACAGGGATCATGAAATCCTTCCTCTTTTTTTTGATATGTTACAGATTGACTGTTTGTGGTGCATATGAGACATTAGTCCATGTGTGTTCTTTAAGCAGCTGAATGGTAAGTTTATGTGCCCTGGAAGCAAATAAGTAACTTTCAAAACAAGAATCCCCACTCACTTCCCAATTCAAATGTCTTAAACCCTTCATTTACATTCATTGATTTTCATTTAATTTGCTCCGACACCAGAAAGAAACTCAAGCATGTATCAGATTAAATTAATTTTTCGTTAGTTTTCTTTACAAACACTGCACACTAAGGTTACCAATCTGAACAGTGCTTTATGGCCAAAGACTAAAAGTTTCCTAGACACAGAACTAAAATACAAACCCACAACAAAGGCAAAATTAAAACCAAAAAAAAAAAAACATAGGCAAAAACAAAATGATATTACAGGTTGTTTGGAGTATATGTTACTAATTCATCTTGACATTCTTGTAGAGCTTGGACTACTGAATCCATTGTAGGTCGCTTGTTTCTATCATCGTCTATGCAGGATAGACCTATCTCAACCAGGATAGCTGCCTGATTCCTGCTAAACTGCCCTTCCAATCTTGGATCCAATATATCCTCTATCCAAGAATCTTCTCCACACTGGATTTTCGTCTTCACTATCCTGACAAACTTTGTAAGCTCTGCTTCCTGTTCCTCAGTTTCCTCTACCACCCAATTTGAAAGCCGAATTCCCTTGATCATCTCTAGAATTACAACCCCATAGCTGTAAACATCAACTTTTGCAGTAATTGGAAGGTTCAGAGCCCACTCTGGAGCCATGTACCCTTTTGTTCCTCGAATCATAGAGAACTCTGAACCAGAGCCACCTCTCTGGGACAGCTTTGCTAGCCCAAAATCAGCAATTTTGGATTCAAATTCACTGTCTAGAAGTATATTTTCTGGCTTCACATCACAGTGGATAACCCATTCTAGACACTCATGGTGAAGATAGGCCAAACCTTTGGCCGTCCCCAATGCAACTTTGAACCTTTCTTTCCATTCAAGGAAAGTGGAGGTGAACAAGTGCTTGTCAAGTGACAGATTTTCAACATACTCATAGACTAAGAGTCTTTGTCTCCTTTCCGAACAGAATCCCCACATTCTCACCAAGTTCATGTGATTGATCTGTCCAATTGTGCTCATTTCTGCCCGAAATTCTTCTTCCCCTTGAGGCACATCTCCCAGTCTCTTCACCGCCACCACCCTCTCATCCGCCAAAACACCCTTGTAAACAGCACCAGAGCAACCTCTTCCTAGCTCTGTCTTGAAATTCTTGGTTGCCTTTTTGAGTTCAGCATAACTGAACTTCCTGAACGGACTTGATATCCCAAGATATCCATCTTCCAGCGCAGCCGACACACCATGCCTCCTAAATAAAAACCACCAGCCTGAAAAAATAAAGAAAATTTCAATTACACCAATGGCCAAACCAAATGAGTATAGATAAACCCATTTCACCCTTTTACCCACTGTGTCATACATAGAAGGAGAACCTACAAGTATTGTAGGTTCCCCTGATCCACATATGGCATTGGAGCCATTAAGAATTGTGGGTTCTGATGCTGGGAGACTTGCCGGGAGTTTTATATATATACTACCTGGGAAAGCTAGAGACTTATAGCCATTGAAAAGTGCACTTTTGGTGTAACATACTCCTGTTCCTGTCAACCTGTAGCTAAATGCTTGACAAAGGCAATCATCTAAGCAAAGTTCCCTGCAATGTTCTATTGAAGTAGATGAGTTATAATCGAGATCAAACCCGTAATAATCTGTGAAGGGAATTTCAACAAATTTCACCTGCTGAGATTTTGAACATGTTCGATTGAACGTAGGCCTGCAACCTTGATTCCAATCACTCAGGTCATTTACCACATAACCAGGAGGGCAAGAACACTTATGTTCTGGTGTATATACACAAATCCCATTTCTTCCACACAGCCCATGCACATTACACGGTTGTGCAAGAGCTTCCCATGAAACTGCCCATGATCCATTTGAACTATCCAAGCTATAAAGCCTGAGATTCCCATCAAAATCAATTGTTAGCCTCCTTTTTATCCCCAAACCCATGTCAGAAGCATTAATTTAAACTTATCGCTCGATAGAAACCCACCCATATCATCCAAAACTGCGATTCTGCTACTGTTGTAGTTAGTCCTTCCATTCCCAAACACATCAAAATCAGGGTTCGGCAAATATAAGCTTGATATCTCAGGACCGTCATAGACCAATCTCAACACATTATCACTATCAAAAAACAAACTAAAATACCCAGATACGTAACTTCCTTTTCTTAATGCAGATATCAATTTCTTGCTCTTGGTAAGGGTTTGAGAAGGCAAAAGAGTATCAGTAGGGTAATCAAAGCTTTGCCTGATGATATTACCTTTTGGGTCTTTCAAAACAAGATTACCAGTATTAAGAAGCTCAGCTCTTCTAACTCCAGTAGAGGTGGTATTGGTCTCCCAGACCACAGTGCCATCAACATCAGTTAAGGCCATGGCACCATCTCTCTTCAGCGATACCTTCGAGCCACGCCCGTTGACCGGCTTCTCTCGGTTAGCCATCCAAACAACGGTTCTGTCGCTTGAATTTGTGAACCATATAGCAAACCAATAAGCATTGCCTCCCGACCCATAAAAGCCACAGGTGAAGGAATTGTCTGGGGATGTGATAAGGTCTGAGTCATGTTCAACAGAGAGAGAAGAGCCTTTTTCTATGTAGTTCTGAACTGTAGAAGTTTCAATATGGAAGGAGGAGGAGGAGGAGGAGGAGGAGATGAGAAGGAAGACAGCAAGGGAAAGAAAAGGAGGTGGGAGAGGTTGGTTTCTCATTTGGTTGGACCTTGGAGATTTTGGTTTAGGCTGCTGAGTATGATAGGTGCTTCTTAAATAGAAATACTTGTAGGCACTCCGAAACATCCATACAAAATTAAAAAAATAATATGTTTTATTTAAAAAAAAATTAAGTATTAAATTTCTATTGAAGCCACTTAAAATTAAGCATTTATGCAAATAACTGTGTATAAAAATAAGATAATACGATAAATACAACTACAAAATTTGTTAAAAAAGGTAATGAATAATGTGAAAATTTTTATCTTTCAAAATATAAACTGAAAATTTACGAATTTTTTAAAGTACAAAAAAATATGAAATTAACATACTAACGGATTTACACTTAATCTTTGTGATTTAAATGATGTATAGATATGTCTGATAGACTAAAAAAAATGTAGTGTATGAAATTTTTATTAGTGTAAGGAGTCAGATATATACAATATGTATGATAGATTAATGCATATTTTGATTAGAATAGAATTAAATTTGGTAAGAATATGACAAAACACAATGTATATATGCATGGTATAAAATTGATTATTAGATAAATTAATATGAATTAAACAAACAAATATGTAAGCAAGGAGCATTTAGGATGATGCTGTCTTATTGTCCCTCCGGATCAACGTGTCATACGACTTTTTTGTCTGAACATATTTATTTATCGTTTATGTGAGAAGAAAAGATGCCATAGACCTCCTGGTCTTGGTGTGTTTTTTTCTCCCAAGTTGGCCAACTTGGTGTTCACACTTTTAATGGATCTGGTTCTGATATAAATAATAATTTTTTATATGAAAAATCATATTTAACCCTCGAAGGATACAAAATTTTTTAGTTTGCCATCTAAACAATAAGTAGTACAGATATGCATGTCAATAGTCTCCAACAACAAGATTGTTGTGGGCATGATTGTGAAGACCCTGGTCCATTACCGGACCCCTGTCTTCCAAGAGCATTCCTCCCATTACCGGGATATCCCGCTCTCCACCAAAGGATTTCGGCTGACCTGCGGGGCAAACCCCCACAGTAGCCTTTACCTCTGTCGGCTGACCTGCGGGGCAAACCCCCACAGTAGCCTTTACCTCTGTCCCACATCGACAGTAGCCTTTACCTCTGTCCCACATCGGGGTTGGGTACTGCTCTCATATGGTGCTTCGGCTTATATGGGGTATGGGGGTGGGGAGACGACTCTTTCCCCGATGCCCCGCACAGTAGCCTTTACCTCTGTCCCACATGCACAGTAGCCTTTACCTATGTCCCACATCGGGGTTGGGTACTGCTCTCATATGGTGCTTCGGCTTATATGGGGGTGGGGAGACGACTCTTTCCCCGATGCCCCGCACAGTAGCCTTTATCTCTGTCCCACATGCACAGTAGCCTTTACCTCTGTCCCACATCGGGGTTGGGTACTGCTCTCATATGGTGCTTCGGCTTATATGGGGGTGGGGAGACGACTCTTTCCCCGATGGGGGTGGGGAGACGACTCTTTCCCCGATGCCCCGCACAGTAGCCTTTACCTCTGTCCCACATGCACAGTAGCCTTTACCTCCGCACAGTAGCCTTTACCTCTGTCCCACATGCACAGTAGCCTTTACCTCTGTCCCACATCGGGGTTGGGACGACTCTTTCCCCGATGCCCCGCACAGTAGCCTTTACCTCTGTCCCACATGCACAGTAGCCTTTACCTCTGTCCCACATCGGGGTTGGGTACTGCTCTCATATGGTGCTTCGGCTTATATGGGGGTGGGGAGACGACTCTTTCCCCGATGTGGGACAGAGGTAATGTGAAGACCCTGGTCTATTACCGGACCCCTGTCTTCCAAGAGCATTCCTCCCATTACCGGGATATCCCGCTCTCCACCAAAGGATTTCGGCTGTTACCGGGATATCCCGCTCTCCACCAAAGGATTTCGGCTGACCTGCGGGGCAAACCCCCACAGTAGCCTTTACCTCTGTCCCACATCGGGGAAAGAGTCGTCTCCCCACCCCCATATAAGCCGAAGCACCATATGAGAGCAGTACCCAAGTACCACACTGTGCTACTTGGGTACTGCTCTCATATGGTGCTTCGGCTTATATGGGGGTGGGGAGACGACTCTTTCCCCGATGTGGGACAGAGGTAAAGGCTACTGTGGGGGTTTGCCCCGCAGGTCAGCCGAAATCCTTTGGTGGAGAGCGGGATATCCCGGTAATGGGAGGAATGCTCTTGGAAGACAGGGGTCCGGTAATGGACCAGGGTCTTCACAATGATGATAGTGACAACTAACATTTTTTAAAAGATTGCGTGTAACTCGCAATAACCTAATATTCTAACAGATGAGTCATAATCGTCTTAGTACTATCAACGTTGATTATTCAAAGAGATCGTCAGTTATGATAAGATAACAAAGATCGCACAAAGTAATCACGAAAGACATCTGAAAATTATAAATAGGGGTCAAATCCCTCACAATATTTTCAAGCAATTTATCTGTAATATTACCCCTGTGTAATCTTCTCTCTTGATTAATAGAAAACACCCTCAAGAGTAAGAGACTCCATTAGAGTAGATTAACCGAGCTCCTAACTTGGTGAACTACTATAAATTTTTTGACTACTATTTCACAAATTGCATTGCCTAAACACCAAGAACCTAGGAGCTCTGATTGGACATTTTTGTGATTCCCAAACTTGTAGATAACACGCCCCTGCTCAGCTGTATAAACATCTCTATCAATCAATTCTATAATTTATTTTGTTTAACAAGGAGTGTTCAAATTAATTTACGTGTATTAGAGAATTCATAAGTAATAAATCGTGGATTGTAATGATTTATATTAAGTAACCTAGTAATACGTTAAGTATATTTTTATATGGTTGGAAACATATTACTAAAATTTATTTTTTAAATTTTTACATAAACAAATGGAACTCAAAATAAGTTACTTGCGCAAAAACAAATTTAGTGACTATAATATTGATTATATTTAATAAATATTTAAAATATTTAAATAATATAATAAGCGTGTAATATATGGATTGTCAAATGTCAAAATAAAAAAGGGGAGACATAAAAAGAAATTTGACAAGTCGGTTGGTTAAAAATAAAAATAAAGAAGAGAAAATCATGAAAAATTGATATTTGTCAATGATGTCACATGCTTTGCATCACATAGGTGATGTTAAGGCCAAGCCAAATTGGCTATAAATAGCCAAGGGCAGAGGCACTCCGTCACTACAAGGAAGGAGAGAAAGAAAGAGGGAGGGAGAAATGGAAAAGAAGTGGTCAAATTTTTATCCATATAGTAGTTCGTTTTGAGGATTAAACATTTAGGTAACGTTTGGGGGTATGATTTAATAATTTTAGAGGTTTAATTTGACCAACAATTATTTGAATTTGATCCTTGTTAAATATTTTTGGATTAAATTCGGACATCGCTATTTTTCGTTATCCACTCCAATTTTTTTTTTTTGTTTAAATATGTCATAATTACTTAATTTTATAATTATTCTAAAATACTACTCGGTTTCGTTTTGACATTGTGCGTGATCTTGATACGAGATAAAATCAGAGGTACAAAAGTAGTATACATTATGCTTCTGTCTTTTAATATATTTGCAAAAAATGTCCTTTTAATTATTCAAAATTTGTATTGCTATTGATTGTTTTCTGTTTATATGAAATTCTAAAAGTTTTGTTGTTCTGACTTATATTTTGGGCTAAAGAATTTGCAATTGATTTGTACATATACGAAATGTGTTTGAGGCATAGTTGTGAAATATGATTGTACCCTTGCAAGTGTGTCATTGTTCGATTTGATTATGGCCCTGTGGGGTCTAATTATTTGATATGAGTATGAATTTATATGTATAAGTGTCACTTATCATGTTACCAAAATAAACCGAGTATAAGGGTATAGTTGATAGCAGTTAAGTTACATGGCAAGTCCAATTTGATGGATGATTCTGTTGTTCATGTTTTCCTATTATCTGAGTTATTTGATATTTGATTATTCATATTTTTTTTAATCGTCGAACATATTATTTCTTATCGTACTATATATTTCCCCACATTTGATATTTTTCAGAATGATTTCAAAGGGAATGATCAAAGTGGAGATACGAGAGAATTAAAGATTTACAACTTTTAATTTTATTGTGGTGATATATAATTTGAACATAGTCATTTGTATATTGCAGAGATTATATTTTATATTTTATTTATAATTTGAACATAATCATTTGGAGCTGTTTGTGGTATATTATGGTCAATTAATTAGTTAACGCATCCCGAGAAATAGGGGTATTTTACACTTATAGTCTGACCCAAGAGAATTGTCAAATTTTAAACTCAATATGTCCAGATTTATAACTTGTCATGTTTCCATTGGGCTACGATATGTGGTTATCAATACTATAAATTTTATTGACAGTTAAATCATCCAAAATAGGTCCAATTATAGTATCAAAAAATAATTTTTTAGTTCTGTTCATTTATGACACGTGTAATTTTTTTGTATTTTTATTATTTTTAAGATCAACAGCCATAAATAAACTAATACAAAACTTACGATTAAGGTCTATTTTTGGGTATGGTACTTGATGAGTCCAAAATCAATTGGGGCATGCCCAATGAATCAAGAAGGCCCAAGTCAGTTAAAGGGTGGCCCAAACCCATTTTGCAAGTCCGACCCACTTCAGGATCTAAGAAACCGGAGAGATAGGAGCACTTGAGAAAGAGAATATCGTGATATGCACTAATGGAGATCAAATTCTATCGTAATTGTACTTACCAAAGAGGAAGTGTCCTCTCCCTCACGTCACCGTCTCACCAAACTTATGTAATGTAAGCCCTATTCACATGGAGGGGCATGACATTGATGCCTCTACACTTTGAGATCTCTACATACATTACACCTTGCTACACACATTACTTCTCTCTCATCACCATTGTAATTCTCCCAGTGACTTTTATTCATCAATAAATATCTCCGGCCACCGCTGTCATTATCGAGAGTGGAGTGATCACC